AAAACTAGCAGAAATGTGCGACTATTTATTGATTTGTTTTTTTATTTTGCAATCTGATTTTGTTAAATCAAAAGTGAATCAAGTGTTATCTGTGGGCTGGTGATATTATACTTAAATGATTATAGTCTAGTGATGCCTACTTGAAAAGTAGCATGAGAGTGCATTAGTCCTGGATAACTTACAAAGACCCACAAAATGATTCATGAAGCTCTTATGTGAAATCTGAGGTCATTGTGAATTGTGACTTTAAATTAATGGTTTAGTGAGAAGCAGCTTTGAGCTGATCAGTTGGGGATAGCGGTAAGTGAAGTTGGATTTTAAAGTTATTAGATAAATATCTGAGAGCTACCAATGCTGTGCATTTATATTATAGCATCACATTTTAAAAGGCTCAGGGCCCTCAAAATCTCCACGTATGTCTACACTGCATCTGACAGCGAGCCCCAGAGCCTGGGTCCACAGATCGGTGCTAGCTGGACGCATGCTAAAAATAGTTGTGTAGACGGTGCTCTGAACCGCCCCCACCCCAAAGTTATAGAACCCAGGCTCCAGCCTGAGCTTTATCATCTGTACTGCTATTTTTAGCGTGCCAGCACAAGCCCCACTACCACAAGTCAGCGGCTTTGTGCTGGGAGATTCACGCTCAGATGCAGAACAGACATACCCATACTGATGTTAATGGAAGTGGAGGGCCTTAGTATCTCTCAGGATCGGGCCCTGCTGCTGCTCTAGAGCTCAAATTCGGATGGTATGTCTAACGGGATTTTCACCTTTAGCTCCCTTCTTAATCCCCAGCCGAAATGAAAGTTCTCCTCTCAACGCTTATTAAAACTCCAAATTTATTTCTCATTATTAAAATCATGAAATTGGCCAAAAATGTTTAAATTAAGTGAAAGGAAGAGAGATGTGTGAGAAAACTGAAGTCTCTCTGAGGATCTGAAGAATAATCCCCAAGGGTGAAGGAAGATGTGGTTGTCAAACCAATAAGCAAATGGATGTAAAAGCTAAAAAAAAAAGAAGTAAAAAGCCACAGATGTTTAAATTTTTGCCAAACATGAAAAAATAAAACTAATGAATCATTTCAATATTTAGATGATGATTTGGAGGCAGCAGCATCCAGCAGATATTAAACTCGTACTGGCTCTGCCACTGACTCCCTGTGTGACCTTGAGCAACTCACCTCACCTCTCCATGCCTCAGTTTCTCCATCTGTAAATTTGGGATAATGAGACCAACCAACTTTTCTGAAATGTGTTTGGATCCATAGATTTAAAGGTGTTAACTATTATTTTTATTAGCTAGGAATGTGGATAGGGCACCCAAATACTACTGAAAATCAATGGGGCTTGGGTGCCTCATTCCCATATGTCCCAACCATTCTTATTACGTGAAATTAAATATGGTACAGTAGAGTTGGGCATAAGCCATGGGATATGAATCTTGAGCCAAACTTTCTCTGGGTTTGGGGATGTTTGCATCCAGGGTACTAGTTCCTCTTTAAAATGTGTCAGAATAATGAAATAAGGATTAAACTCATCTTTCACCCAGCATGATTTATTATTCATGAATAGTGCAGGACTAATGCCCTATTGAGTGAAGCCTACTGTCCATTCACAAAATAGCTACATTACAGGTAAGTAGCAGTACAACTTTCCCCCACATTTTCCCACCAACAGGGTCCTCAACCATTAGAGGAAATGTGAAGAGGTGAATTTAGTTCCCATAACCTATTTGGTCCTTGAGCTCTCTGCTGAGACTGTCAGCGAAGGGGTGCACTTAGTGGCGGGTGTGGTTTTGTGATGTGGATACCTGTCTACTACGTACTGGATTGGAACCCACCAAACTCTTTTCACGTGGACCATGAGACAGCCAACAGATAAGCACTTTCAATCACAACCAGGTTAGGCTAAATTCAGACTGGCAGCCACAGGTGAAAGACTATATCCCATTACCAATTCTCTGAGTTATGTAGTCCCCATTAAAGCAGACTTGTATTTAGCCATGGGAGTGCACTGGTCATAATCTCACACTCACAGTATTGACCCAGTAGAGGTCAACAAGGAAATCTATTATGTCCAGTTGAATCTGTAACTCTAGAACGCAGCAATTAAAATGAATTTGGTATCAAAATGCCATCTGATGGCACAAGTTATGAGCTAAGGTACATTCTTACTCTTTGTGTACTAGTGACTGAATAGCTTAGGTACCTTGTGCAAAAACATGAGGGTTGTTAGAAGAAGACTGCATATTCTGAATGCATCTGGGTTCTTTCTCTTATGAAAACAGATGAGGAGGCGGGAAGCAAAGAAAACAGAGACAAAGCACTCTCAGGAATGTATAAAAGGAAGCAAATATTCCATTCAGAGGAATGTAGATAAGTGTTTCTTCTCTGTTAAAGAGAAAACCAGCCCTGTGAAAGCTGTGTGTATATTTTGGAGTGTTGATAGCGTGGCTTCTAACACTGCATATTGCCATGGTAACAAATCCACGGCTCTGACTTCATGGGTATGACACACACCTAAACTTCAGGGTGACACTGGGGATACAACATGTGAAAGCACAGGCCCATACTGTGACAGCAACTGTGGTAACTGACCAGACACTGACAGGGTAGGAACCTTTTGTAACCCTGAATGAGGACAGGTGACCGGGACCAGGAAATCGATATATTTCTTACCAGCCTTTTTTTATTACAGTTGCAAACCCAATATTCTAGTTTAAAAGCCTTCCTGTATGAATGAAGGCCCAGCAACCAGCAGAGGTGGGGAATCAGAGAAAGAGGCTGAACCAAAGAGTGGCAGTAGGCAGGACCAGTTCTGAACTAACTTAATGCAGCTCTTAACCCTGTAACTGGTACCTAGATGCTATGTTGACAACTACTGTTACAGCAGAGTGCTCTGAAAATGCTCAGGCTTGGGCTCGTTGTGATCTCTGGTGTGGAGTTTCACTGTGGAGGCAACTGCTGATATTGCTCTGTCCCAAGAGTTTTGCCCTCAGCTCAATAAGTTGTTTATTACTTGTATTATACCAACAGCATGGTATGTGCTTTAGTTAGGTAGGATGACAAAGCTACTATCCCAAAGAGCTCACAATAGATCTGATATAATTAGCTGGCCCCCATCACTGCAATATCTGAGTGCCGCACGTCTTTAATGTATTTGCCCTCACAATAACCCTGCAAAGAAGGGAAGTGGTATTATCCTCATTTTACTAATAGAGAAACAGGCACAGAGAAACTAAATGACTTCCTCAAAGTCACACAGGAAGTCTGTGGTAGAGATGTGGGTTTCTCACAGCCCAGGTTAGCGCTGTACACGCTCGACTGGCCTTCCTTCCATCCATCTAGATAGCATCCATAATGATACTATTGTGTTCAGTTGTCTTGATGGGCTGTGGATAGGTGCCTATTTGTAAACGTAGTATTCTGCTGGTGATGCTGGAGAGGTACAGAGCTGCTAATGCCTCATGGAAAGATTTTAACCCATTTAATTTCACCATCCTTGATGTAACCCTACTGACAAATTTCCTCCAATGATGACTTGTAGCAGAGGTGAAATCCCTCATTTTAGACAGTTTCTTTTTCTTATCGTCTAGTATCACTGAGGATGTTTGTGGGAAATCAGGAAGATTTGTTGCCAGGCAAGTTTATCCAGTGCTGCTGCTTTATCCTCCATGTGTCTTATCATACTCCCTTGTGACATCATGGCCAGTCACATGCAGAGAGGAGCCATGACCGAGGGATTAAGCAGCAGAAACAGACAAACTTGTAAATGATGGCTGGGCTTTCCTGCAAGCCTCCGTAAGTATTAGGTGAAAAGTGGGGTGGAAAGGCAGTGCGGTATTTAAAATAGGACCTTTATCCAAACTGCCTGTGGATTAGGTTTCAGATCTGTGGAACAAAAATCCACCCTGTCACTCTTTTTTGCCCTTTTATATCATCCCTCATTTGTATTTTTTTTTCTAAATTTGGAATACAATATAGATGAGATAGCAGTAACTTTTTCTCCATAGAATACTTTTTTCCGTTTCCTGGGGCAACAGCAGCACTGTATTGTATGGTTGTATTTACAGCAAGACATATCTGTATTGGTTATAGATGGGTGTGAGTTGCACAATTTGGGTCTGGAGCTAAGCTTCCCTTAGCTAAGGGGGTTCAGATCCCAGGCTCTGTTTTGGCCCCGTCTGCAGCATGTCCACAGAGCTTTTTCAAATAATTTTCCAAAGAAGGAGTATGATGATGCAAAGCCACAGCCTCATGCTATCACGTCACGGCCCGACAAGGCAACGTGAGTGCGGGATGGGATGTCCCTGCATTATGCCATGCTGATGGGATGCCCCCTGCCTGTTGTCACCATGGTGCAGCATGAAGACAGTGATGTCAGTGTGAGGATTAAGGTTGCCAACATTGCATTTCAAACATAAAGGACTCTTCTCTCAGCACCCCTCCTCCAAATATCATCATCAGCAATAACACTAGCAATAATGAATAATAAGCAGCACTCACCTACCTGTGCCAAGGGTATCTCTTGCTGCTTTTTTGCAGCGCTCAGCTTGTTGGGCAGAGATGATGCAACACAGCATCTTGGGGTCTCCCTCCCTGTCATTCTATGACGTCACCCCGTGTGACTGTGATGTCATGAGGTGTGAAGTCACTGCAGCCCTCTGATGCTGCCCCATTCACTGGCCAGGGGGGGAGTCTGGGCTGCGGGACCTCCAGGCCCGGGGAGCGCAATGCATGCCGGACTAGGCTGACTGGCTCCAGCTAGGCCCCGAAGCCTCACCGTCTCCATGGTAACCGCCCTGTTATCCCCCTTCCCCACCCACACCTTGCTCACGTGACCCGCGCAGCTGGCGCTCACGTGATGTTTGGTTGCCGAGAAGCTGTTTCCGGGTCAGGCCTCAGTGCAGGACGCGGCGTCAGGGCGGGGGAAGAGCGGGGCCGGGTGAGAGCCGGGGGCGAGGGCGGGAAGCCGGGGCCTGCGCGTCCCAACCCCCACCCCCCGGGGCGGGGGGGGGGGCAGGAATGGGGGGGCCTCTCAGGGTCCCGCCGGGCGCCCATGGCGCTGGGGCTCTGAGTGGCCGAGCCGTCCAGGGCCTCCTCGCAGCGGGCGGGGGCTGCTCTGCCCTGGCCCAGGGCACTGCGCCCCGGGTGTCCCCTGGGCTCCTGAGAGGTGGGGGGAAGGTCACTGGCTGCACAACCCTGGGGGAGAGGGGTCGCTGCCCCCCGGTCCTCAGGCGGGCTGAGTGCTTGCTGCACCCTGGGTGCGGTGGCCCTGATGGGGGGGGGGGGGGTAGGGGGAATGCGGAGTGACTCTGGATCCCTCAGCTCTTCGGGCGATTCCTGACTCTGGTGAAGGCCGGGCCCGAGGGGCCTGGGTGATTGGTGAGAGAAACAAAGGGAAGGCTTTTCTTCGGACCGTCTGTGGAACTAGCCTTTAATGCCCGGTTGCACCTGGAGAGTTCAGATATAAGCCAGTTTCATTTAGATGCATCTTTGATTCCCCTCTCCCCCCCCCCCCCCTCGGAGGCTGAGCATCACTAGTCAAGTGCATGAGTGTCCTAGATATTGGCTTATTTTCACTACAGCATGGAGGAGAAAAAGTGATGCGTGTGATTTTTTTAAAAAAAAGGTATAAGGTTCAGTTAAACTCCGCTATGTACTAACTTTTTACTGGTTTTGGCTGTACCTAATATGTGCTGTAATCATCTGCACTTCTCCCACCTTAGAATCAGAAATGTAGGACAGGAAGGAACCTCGAAAGGTTATCTAGTCCCTTTCCTGCACCCCCTTCACTGAGGCAGGATTAAGTATATCTGGGCCATCCCTGACAGGTGTTTGTCTAACTAGTTCATAAAACCCCCAAAAGGGTGTGAATTCCACCACTTCCCTTGGTAACCTCTTTCAGCAACAAGCTTTTTAAGTATAACAATAGTTTATCTTAATATCCAACCTACATCTCCTTTGCTGCAAACTAAGGTGACTACTTGTTCTACCCTCGGTGGACACAGAGGAAAAAGTGATCACCATTCTCTTTATAACAACCTTTTATGTATTTGAAAACTCAGCTTTCAGTTAAACTACACATGCCCATTTCTTTCAACTTTTCCTCATAGGTCATGTTTCTAAACCTCTTATCACTTTTGTTGTGCTCTTCTGCACACTCTCCAATTTGTCCACATCTTCCTTAAAGCACCAAACTGGACATGGTACTCCAACTGGGGCCTCACCAGCACTGATTAGAGTGGAACAGTTACCTGCTGTGTCTTAATTATGATACTCTTGTTAATACATCTCAGAATGACATTTGCCTTTTCCCCCCACAACAGCATCACACTGTAGACTCTCATTCAATTTGTGATCCAATATAACCGCTGGATCTTCTGTCATACTGCTGTTATTTCCTACGATATTTTATCTTTGTGCATTTGAGTTTTCCATCTGAAGTGTAGTACTTTGCATTTGTCATTACTGAATATCATCTTATTGATTTCAGACCAATTCTCCAGTTTATCAAAATAAATTTGAATTTTAATTTTGTCTTAGAAAGTGCTTGCAAATCCTCCCACCTTGGTGTCATCTGCAAGCTTTATAAACATACTCTCCACTCCTTCATCCAAATTGCTAATGAAAGAATTAAATAGTGCCAGACAGGACAGATCTCTGAAGGGCCCCACTTGATATAACTTGCCAGTTTTATAGTGAACTGTGATAGCTACTTGGTCTTTCAACCATTTATCACCCACCTTATACTAATTTCATCTAGACCATATTTCCCTAGGTTACTTCTAAGAATTTCATGTGGGACTGCACCAAGAGCCTTACTGAAGTCCATATATATATATATATATCCCCTCTACTGCTTTCCCCCTATCCGCTAGGCTGGTTACACAGGCAAAAGAGGAAATTACATTGGCTTGACACGATTTGTTCTTGACAAATCCATGTTGGCTGCTATTATCGTGTTTTTGTTCTCTAGGTTTGAACAACTTGCTTGTTACTCCCTCCCTCCAAAGATTTCAATATACTTTATAACATTTAACTAAAGAAACCTTTCAGTACCCTTTTCCCCACACTGAAATGCAAGCACATCTAGGGTGGAACTAGGCATCTGTTTCACAGCACAGAGCAACACTATACAACAGTCTAGGACAGGAAGTGAGGAATATCTTGTCCAGTTGGTACGGCATGAGGGTTTATGGTTTTCTGTTAACCACGGAAGCATTATTCTACTCAGGTTCTTGTTCCTAGTCCCTCACCATAGTGTCTGAGTCCCTTCCAGAAGCATGTTAAGTGTTATGATTAGCATCTGTCACATGGTTCTTTTCTTTCTCCCAGTAGTATTAACCATTTCAGATAGATGGTTCAGTGTTCAGATGTGTCTTAGCAACTCCTGCGAAAACCCTCGTAACAGTGAGTAGGAGTTATTGTTTATGCAATATTTTAAAGGTCTTGAAAAATAACTTTCGCCAGTATTTCATGGGAGATGCACATCCTAACTTCATTAAGCAAAGAGCATGTTCTGTTGCATTCATCCCTTTAAAAAACAGTATTTTTTATGTCCCTGTGCATGTCAAAATGCATTATTGTTTAGGTGAAAGACTGGTTTGGCTCTGCTCTGGTGGAGTCTTGCTGCTATTGGAACTTCATTAAAGTTGACCTCTGTGTGCCTTAGATCGCTGGAAATGAAAGCATAAAATTCTGATATACATTTTGCTTCCCTTGGTTTGTCTCTTTTATATTTCATTGGCTGGGATGAGTCAGTTTCAGTCTGGTTACTAGTCGGTTTCACTTTCTGGTTCTCTTACACTTAGCATATAGTTGGTTGAATTCACAACACTTTAGAGAAAGGTTTAAATCCAGAAAAACACTTTTCATTGACATTTTTAAAATATCATGGGTACCTTTCCAGAGTAGGTTTTGTAGTTATTTCCACATTAACACTTAGATCCAAAATTAAGAATTTTTTTTAAACTAGTTGACGCCCCTTTAATCAGCTGTGTAAAAATGCTCACAGTGCAAATTATCATATTGTGCCATTGTATGTGTGAGACATGCTTTGAAATACCATATGCTGTTCTTGCATTTTCTGTTAACCCTTTATTATTAACCCTGAATATTTTGCCATATTGATGCATACTTGCATGGTAGAACAGTGATGCAGCTTTGGAAAAGCAAAATGCATCAAGAATAATTATGACTAGTGTTAACTGTTCAGGAAGGGAATTGGGAAAGTTACTCAGACCCTAAGCTTGCTGTCCTCTGGAGACAAAATTGGTTTGCTAAGCTAAAAATTCAATATGAAATATTTTTAAAATTATTTCTGACATTTTCTTTTCCAGTGTTTGTATTTAGGTGTCTTTCTCATGTGGAATTTACCAACCGATGTTAGCTCAGTGCACGAACAGCGGTGGAGTTGACTAAAAAGCCAAGTAAAGGAGAGAGCGCTTTATGGGTGAGTGAGTTTCTTTTGTTTAAAAACTTTAAAATTTTAAAAGTTCCAACACAGAAGGTCTGAGTGCATGTTTGGAAGCAAATATCTGTCTTTTCTGTGTGACTGAGCTACAACTGTATGTTAAGATCAGGGCATTTCAGCCCAAAGCCTTGATCGTTAGCAAGTATCATCCCTTCAGCATATTGTGCATTTCAACATGAAATGTATGTTTTATGAGAGAGGGACCCTTCCTTGAGTGTTGCCATTCACAAACGCTACACATTGCATCACTCAAATGAAGCTGCCTCAGGGGAAGGAGTGTGCGCCAAATGGGTGACGATAGAGTACTTAAAAGAAAAAGGGGCTTAGGACAAAATGGCAAACTCTTACAAAAATGCCATGGCGGCTTTGATGTCCACACACATGGAATTTCAGCAGAAGATACTTTCATTCCCATTATATGTTGTGTTGTGTTGTACTATGTTGGAAAATCATTCCCAGAGAGTATTATCAGTTATGCTGACAATATGCTGGAAGGGCATAACGAGTGGGGTCCCTCAGGGTTCGGTTCTGGGTCCGGTTCTGTTCAATATCTTCATCAATGATTTAGATAATGACATAGAGAGTACACTTATAAAGTTTGCGGACGATACCAAGCTGGGAAGGGTTGCAAGTGCTTTGGAGGATAGGATTAAAATTCAAAATGATCTGGACAAACTGGAGAAATGGTCTGAAGTAAATAGGATGAAATTCAATAAGGACAAATGCAAAGTACTCCACTTAGGAACAAACAATCAGTTGCACACATACAAATGGGAAATGACTGCCTAGGAAGGAGTACTGTGGAAAGGAATCTGGGAGTCATAGTGGATCACAAGCTACATGTGAGTCAACAGCGTAACGCTGTTGCAAAAAAAGCAAAGATCATTCTGGGATGTATTAGCAGGAGTATTGTAAGCAAGACACGAGAAGTAACTCTTCCGCTCTACTCCACGCTGATTAGGCCACAGCTGGAGTATTGTGTCCAGTTCTGGGCGCCACATTTCAGGAAAGATGTGCACAAATTGGAGAAAGCCCAGAGAAGAGCAACAAAAATTATGAAAGGTCTAGAAAACATGACACATGAGGGAAGATTGAAAAAATTGGGTTTGTTTAGTCTGGAGAAGAGAAAACTTGAGAGGGAACATAAGTTTTCAAGTACATAAAAGTTTGTTACAAGGAGGAGGGAGAACAATTCTTCTTAACTTCTGAGGATAGGACAAGAAGCGATGGGCTTAAATTGCAGCAAGGGCTGTCAGAGTGGTTAAGCACTGGAATAAATTGCCTAGGGAAGTGGTGGAATCTCTATCACTGGGGATTTTTAAGAGCACATTGGACAAACGCCTGTCAGGGATAGTCTAGATAATACTTAGTCCTGCCTTGAGTGCAGGGGATTGGACTAGATGACCTCTGGAGGTCCCTTTCAGTTCTATGATTCTGTGTAGCACACTGCTTCTGAATCCCTACCTACCAAGCATAACTTATCTTTTATAGAATATTGGTGGTAGGTTTAGGTCATCTCACTGCTTATGATATTTAATTCCTTTGTGATAGAGGTACTTCAACAGCTTGTGACCAGAGATAAATCATCCAAGAAAAAGCAAAGTCACGGTCTCCAAGCAGATCATTAACAGCAGAGGGAAATCTATGCAGCAGATGTTTTCCTCTTCCTTTCATAATCTGCCATCCATTTCCACCTATAGTGGATCTAAGGAAGAGTTAATTGCAGCAGGGAGGGGACATGAACACAGTCTTCTGGTTAGGTAGAGGGAAGGCAGATTCTTGGAGCCGTCAGATTGATGAAGAGAAATGTACAAGCTTGAGTTGACCTTTCTGTTGGTAATAGAAAATATTTCATTATTTATACCTTCCTTGGAAAACTCAGACACCAGTGGCCCAATTTTGACCTCATTTTGCTTGTTCGACTGCATTTCATGGAATTTAGGAGCATAATTTTAGGCAGCTTTTGTACGATAGGATTTTTTTTTTTTTTTTTTTTCCGGGGGAACTTTATAGCCCTGGTCCTGCAAACATAATAATAACACCTAGTCCTTATTGTTTTTCATTAATAGATCTGAAAATGCTTTACAAAGGAGCTCATTATCATTTCTCCATTTTTTTTTTACAATTAGGGAAACTGAGGCACAGGAAGGTGAAGTGACTTGCCCAAGTTCTTCCAGAGGCAGAGCCAGGAATAGAACCCAGATCTTCTGAGTTCTGTTCCAGTGCTCTAAATGCTAGATCACAGTGTCTTGACTTGATGTATCAAGTTGACTTTAGGCAGTGCCATATTCTTGGTTTGATTTGCCTTCTTCAGCAATTGAAACAGCTGGCTAATTGTTTTTTGGTTAAGTTTAGCCGCAGTGAAAACTTGCAGTTGCTCAGCTTTTTCCTCACCCTGCATGCCGTTATGCGAAGCATTTGCAGACTCTTTGAAAGGATGGGATGGCAGTGTTTCTTTTAAAAAGACAAAGTCCTGAAACAAACAGGATGTCCTCAGAGACTTTAGAGAGGAAAATAATCCTTAGCACTTCTGTATTGTTCAACATCTTCAAAGCGCTAAGTCACTGTAGACTTGTGCCCTGGGCTGTTAAAATCACTAGTCTTTCTGGATTTCTCCTCAACCCAGATACCTTGCAGGCTACATTTTAGGATGCAGGGGCTGTATTAAGCCCTTGTGCTGTGCAGTTCGCTTGACTTGATGAAACACTATTTCTTTTTATCATAAATATTATGAAATGTTCCTACCTCTGGGTAGGAAATTAGGACAGATGAGCTAACTTCTTTCTGGGGCACATGTAGAATGGCAGTCACCATAGTATCTAGGCACTGAGTAACTGCCAGCCGACATTTGATACTATTTTGTAAAGGTCAGCAAACCACAATACACAAAGCCCTTTGATTTGGCATATAAAAGAGCCTCTGCTTTGTAATTTCCATGTTACCTCGCTTCATGTGGTGCAAAAGTACCCAAGTGAGATGCATCTTCGAAATACATTAGGGACCTGCAAAATTGAACTGGCAAGATTTTTTTTTTATGGCTGGCCAAGCAATTTCTTCATGTGTTTGTGCTATTGATTCATGGCACAGTCTTAACATCCTCATCAAAAGCCTGTATCTTTCCATCCTTTCTCCATGCCTGGGTAGCAGTCCCAGTTTAACACCTTTGGAAATGGTCAGCTGAAAAGGGCTGATCTTTTTCACCCTAAAACTTGCTGTGAATGAGGCACTGTTGTCTATGATGATGGGCTCCCTAGACAAACCTAAGATAAATAGTTTGAGTTAGAACCTGTACCCTGCAGTTCTGATCTAAGCTATGCCAGAGTCCTGTGACTGTGAGCAAGTCACACACCTCTCTGCCTTAGCTTCCCCATCTGCAAAATGGAGATAACACTTACCTGCCTTACAAGAGCATCATGAGGATTCATTAATGTTTGTAAAGTACTCTGCAATCCTGTGGGGAAATGAGCTATGTAGGTGCAAGATATTGTTATGATGACAATGGCAGCTCAGTTGTAATTTAGGATTTTATAGGTTTGTCGAGGGTATAGTTGTATTAATCCCTCTGGAATTCTAACTACTGTGTCTTGTGTGCTTAAATAATAGCAATGTGTTGTTTCTCTGGGTGTGTAATAACTATCTTATGTGGACTAATGATTATAATATTTACATAGCGCCATTCATTCTGACACATCCCAATGATTTTTACGAACTATATGCACATGGCATCACTGAAATGCAGCCACTTCTGGGGTGGAGCATGTCAGACAGCATGCTGCATAACTTTGGGGTTGGGGATTTTAGCCAACGACTCTGAGATGAATCTTTAAATTAAGTTCCATGGGATGGTAAATGTCCATGCAGAGCAGGCAGGATTTTAATTTTTATGGTCTTGTTTAAAACATCCCTGCACAGTAAACTTCATGGAACTCAGTGTTATCCCCTTCGAGGTGATGAAGGGCTGAGTTGACTTTGTCAGGATTCAAACCCGTTGGTCCAGGGAGTCTAGGAAGCATTCACAGTTACTGATAAGATCAGTAAGCAGCCCATTTCTGCTGTGGGTCACTGTCTTGAGGAAGTACCTGGTAGTATTTCAGGGTGCTTGTGGGTGGAAGAGTAAAATATATGGTGGTATACTCTGTTTACTGCCAAGCTGTCCTTAGCTTTTTAAAAAATTGTCCGTTACTTAAGGAAGTGTAGCATAAGATTCACTGCTGCCTTCTGGAGATGAGCTGATTAGCAGTGGATTGTGTATATTGTCTGATGTTTTCTGCATTAACTGTAGAATTCCAAGAAGGGAACATGGATCAGCCCAGCGGAAGGAGTTTCATGCAAGTTCTTTGTGAGAAATACAGCCCCGAGAACTTCCCATATCGTCGAGGTCCTGGAATGGGGGTGCATGTCCCAGCAACGCCACAAGGATCACCTATGAAAGGTAGGGTTCCTACTGGAGCTGTGCATACAAGGGCTTGAGGGCAGGATCATTTCATCCCATAGCTCGGGGTTCTCAACCTTTTCCTTTCTGCGCCCCCCCCCCCCCGCCACATGCTATAAAAGCTCCCTGGCCCAGCTGTACCATGACAACTGTTTTTCTGTATATAAAAGCTAGGGCCAGCATTAGGGGGAATCAAGCAGGGCAATTGCCCGGGGCCCCACACCAAAGGGGGCGCCGCAAAGCTAAGTTCCTTTGTCTTCAGCGCCGAGTGATGGGGCTCAGTGCCCCAGGCTGAAGTCCCGTGTGGCAGGGCTTTAGCTTTCTGCCCTGAGCTCTAGTGAGTCTAACGCTGGCCATGCTTGGCAGACCCCCTGAAACCTGCTTACGGCCCCCCAGGGTGCCCCAGACTCCTGGTTGAGAACCAAGCTTTCCACTCATCCAGGAGGAAGAATCCTACTGAATTACAAAACCAAATAATCACACTTGTGTTGCTGTATGGCTTGTATCACTGTTTAATATGTATACTACAGTAGGGCCCATAGTCCCCAGTTAGGATCAGGGCACCATATAGACGCACGCTGCTAGCCTGGCATTGTCCACAGCAGCCACTTGAAATTGAACAGGCTTACAGGTTTGGATCAAAGGTGCTGGGGCAGGTTTCTAGGCATGAAACTGGGAGCCAAGAACTCTTGCTTTGTAGTCCCCAGTCCTCCTCCGCGTACTCTCTGACTTTGGGACTATTACTTTTACCTCCATTTCCTCATCTGTGAAATGTGAACTTCTGCTCATTTTAGTTGCTCAGAGCTCTTAATTCCTGGCAAGGGGATAGTTGCTGAAAAATTAGTTTGACTCTCCCCACCCTACTCTACTGTCAGTTTGAAAGAATCCTGGCCCAAGGTTCTCCTGCCAATAAAGTAAAGCCCTATACAGCACTGAGATCCAGGGACGTAAACTCTGCCCAGCTTGTCCCCATTTCAGCAGTTTTTCAGTGGCTGCAGCAATGTGTATTTGGCACAGGTGTCTTAAACATTTAAAATTGCTCTGGATTCCACCCAGCACAGCTGTTCTGTATTTTCTGGGCCCAGTCCAGTAACATGCAGAGTGCCTTCAGCTCTGATTTGAAGTCTATAGCTGTTGAGGGAGTTTAGCACATCACAGGTTTGGGTCCTTGGTCCAGCAGAATCGCAATGACTTCAGTCTTTTATGCTATGTTAGGTCGGTTTCCTATTTACTTTGGGATGCCTGTTGGATGCAGACACTAGGGCTACTAAGACATGTTGCACAAACACCCTAAAGAAATGCCCCTTTCTCCTTACCCAATATCCTTACTGCCTTGTGGCCGATCCAGAGATGCATGTCCTCTGGTATAGGCATACTATTACGAACACACACACCTGAACTTCCTAGGATCTATAAAATAAAAATCCCTATTTCCAAAGGTTTTAGCTGGAACTGGATCGACTTTGCAACCTTTTATCTAATCTTTCCCCACACTCTGAGGTATTTGGATTTGGTTCACTTTTTATTCAGACAATTTATGGTTTGGGATTTAGCAAACCAGAGCCACCGTTCATTTGTTAAGCTCTTGCCCATCTCTAGTTGTGACTGTAGTTTAAATTCCCTTTAGGTTGGTTTGTATCATAAGCAGCCCCAAAGGAGGAAAAAACGAGGAAATTCACTAGGTGAAAATGACGATAACTGGGTTTGACAGCAGAGAACAAAAGTCAGAAAATTCAGTCAAGGACAAAATGTACCATATGTCACTCAAAGTTAATCTCAGTAGTGAATCACCTTAACAAAATTTTCAGTGTGCTCTCTTATTTATATAGATTGCTACAGAAACTAACAAGAGGGTCCCTATCCATATGGTCTAGGCATCCCTGACATAACTTAAAAATAAATTACAAATAATACAATAATTACAGCTGTGTAGTTTAATATAATTTACCATCTATGAGCTAGGTAACTTCAAATCTCAAATTGACCTCCAATAATCCCCTACTCTTACAGTTCTTCTCTTGTCCAGTAACTTTAAAATACAGGAGGGAAAAGGGATTAGGGGAAAGAGAGTTTAATGAAGACAATCTCTTATGTTGTGCGTATGATCAGAAGATCTCAAAGTGCTTTACCAGAGTGGGTAAGAAAAAAATTATATTGTGCTTGACACGTGTATAATATGGTACGATTTATCCACATGCTGACTTTCCCTGTTGAAATTGCTTCTTATTATAAACCAAACATTTTTGGAGAGAATTCTCGGCAGTGGAAATTCCACCATGAGAGGCAGCATAATGTAGTAGTCACAACACAGAACTGGAAGTCAGTTTCTGTTCCTGGCTCTGCTTCTGACCTTTGTGTCTTAGGGCAAGTCACTCATGGCCTAAGTTTCCTGAAGTGCTAGGAACCTACAATTACAATTAACTGCAATGGGATGTTTGGGTACTCATCACCTAAGAAAATGAGGCTATTAACTTTTTTTGTGTCTGTTGCCCTGTTGATAAAATAAGCATAATAGCTGCATCACAGTGAAGTTCTATTAAGCAAAGGGACTCTCTCAGGTCAAATTTAAGCCTAGGTTCAGTTGTGTAATGGTATACGTCAACCAAGCTTTTATAAAACCTAAGATCAATACAAGCACTTGATTTGTTTTGTAAAAAATTCAGTGGAGGCAGTTTTTTAAACGAACATTCTTTTGCCATATTTGCCACTGAAATTTTGCAGCCTTGTGCTAAAAGTACAATTGATTAGAAACTGACTGTAAACTAAGATGGAACTGACCCATGTGTTTTCGTTGAGATAGGTGAGAGAGAATGCAAACAGCATAAATCGTGAAATTACTTCACATTCTTATAATTTTTCCCCATTTTAGCCATCTAAAATGGAATTGGTAATACACTTATCCGTTTTAAAATGTATGACTTTAACCTGACTTGCTTGGCAAATGTAAATCATTATATAACTACTAAATTATTGATTAATCCTTTCCTTTTGCTCGATTTCTTACTTGTTTGTGTTCTTTGATGAGACTAAGGGATGATCTTCTATAGCTGGGAAAATATGAGGCTGACTGGACAGCATCTTGTTCCTCCCCCATTTCAGATCGCCTCAACCTTCCAAGTGTGTTGGTGTTGAACAGCTGTGGAATAACCTGCGCGGGAGAGGAGAATGAAATTGCTGCCTTCTGTGCTCATGTGTCTGAGCTGGATCTCTCTGACAACAAACTTGACAACTGGCATGAGGTAAAACAATTATGACTGTGCCTTGCTCAATAGCAGCAATAACTGCTGCTCTCGCTGTATTTATATTGCTAGATATGGGATCTTCTCAGTCATTTCAAAGTAGGTAAATGTGTCCATTATAGAGTGTTGTAGTTCACATTTGAAGATCATGTTTGTTGCTCTGTAGCTGTCAAAGTAAATAAACTTGATCACTATGCCACATACAGGGTATGTCTACATTCGAAATGCTACAGCGGCACAGCTGTAGTGTAGACACTTATTACAGCAATAGGAGGGGTTATTCTGTCAATATAGTAAATCCACATCTCTGAGAGGTAGTAGCTAGGTTAACAGAAAAATTCTTCCATCATCCTAGCGGTGTCTGTGCTGGGGCTTACGTCAGCATAATTACATCCCACAGGGCATGACATTTTTCATAGCCCTGAGTGATGTAGTTAAGCCGACCTGACTTCATACCATAGACCAGCCCTCAGGCATTTAACTCACTTTCCTTAGTAATTTCTGAACTCGTCCTGCAGGTGAGAAATATACTTTCCTTCAGTGCAAAGCATTGGAACCATCATTTCATGCACCAAAAGGTTAATGAGGAATATGGATCACTAACAGAAGGAGTGCAATCAAGAGGGTTTGAGCAAAGGACTGGCAGCTGAGACTCCTGAGTCCTATTCCCAGTTCTGCCACTGACCCTGTATGATTTGGGAAAGTTAGAAATCCTCTCTGTGCTTCAGATTTCTCCTCTTCAAAACAGGATTAATAATACTCGTCTACCTTACAGGGGTCTTGTGAGGTTTAATTAATTAATGCTTGTAAAGGGCTTCGAGGTGCTTGGATGAAATGCACGACATAAATGCAATATAGTAGTAGTAGAATAATTAGAGTACATTAAACTGTCTTGTGTCCTCACCGGCTCACGCTCTGCTTTTATCCCACTGTTCATTACTGGAAATCGACATGAAAAAAGCTGAACTGAAACCTAACCTTATTTTTTAAAAAAATTATCTTAAATTAGTTCCTAATCACAAGTGGATATAGTATTGATGTAAGTCTTCTGACCACAGAACAGATCTGCTAGGCCAGGGACGGCATAGGCTTTCCCGTGCTGCTTTTTGCTCAGTGCTTACCTGGAGGGGCCCTTTCTGTGCGTTAGGATAGGAGTTCAGTTTCCATGGGGCTTGTTCAGAGTCTATGGCGACTGCCAATTTAAGAGTTCGTTTGTGCTAGCTGTGATGATGATCTTGTGGTGGCGTTCACTAGGAACAGGAGTGAGAGCACCAGCAGCTCATTTTATGTTGACCCCTGAAAGTCCACCAGTTGGTAACTTAGTTTCTATCGCTCTGGTCTGTTTGAGTGCTTATTCGTGGTTGTGCTCATTTTAGTTGTGAAACATGTTCTAAAGGCCTTAATCAGTTGAAAGACATGTACATCCATTCACCATCTCCCCCAGATGGTGCTCCCTATGCCTGTTTTCCCATTTATACAGCCTGCTCCTCTGCTACAGTTCCCCCAAGTCATTTGCATCACGCCCTTCTTCGCACCCAATCACATGCCCCTTAATATATTCTGCACCCTCGATACATATATCCCAGCTGTCCCCTTTTTCTAACCATTCACCCTAACTCCAAGCTACGCACATACGCACCTGATACATGCCAACGGAATAGCTAGCCCCAAGCACTGTTACATGTATGTTTGGATTGAATTCATAACCTTTCAACTCCAGCACCATGTGAGTAAGAAAGCTGGTACTGCCATAGATTAATGGAATCTAATAAGGAATCCATTGTGCATGTACAACGAAATTCTATCAGCCTTTTATTTTAGGCAAAATTATGTGGAGAACAGTGGAAAAACTGAGCAACTGATCTGTGTAACAATCATATGCTTGAGGGACATGCTCTTGCTTCTCTCTGCCTAGAGAAAGGTCCAGCAGCCTTCTAAGATGCTGGCTTCTGTGACTTGCTATTTCTTAGGCAGGTATTCAGGTGGACTTTCTGATCTCTCCCAAGGGATATGCTTTCCCTTATCAAGCTACCGTCAGAGTGTAATTAAATGAACTGTTGAGGTGAATGTGCAATTAGCCAATCAATTGAGATCAGTGAATAGTTTAAGTATGAATTACAGAGAGCTATCTAAAAGCCTTTTTTTTTTTTTTTTTTTTTGTATCCATATAATTTCTTTGGCTCACAATCCTGCTGGAGGATCCCTTTCTACAAGATGGAATATTATTGAATGAGGTCTGATTACCTCCTGATACGCTTCTTTCTCTTGTTTTTTTTTTCTCTCCCCCACTAGGTCAGTAAAATTGTGTCAAATGTTCCTCACTTGGAGTTTCTAAACCTGAGTTCCAACCCTCTGAATTTGTCAGTTTTAGAGAGAACATGTGCTGGATCTTTCGCTGGTGTTCGCAAACTGGTGCTAAACAACAGCAAAGCTTCCTGGGAAACAGTCCATACAATACTGCAGGAACTACCAGAGTAAGCGTGGGGAGCATGGTATGGAAGGAGAAGTGCCCACTGCATGCAGACAAAGCTCAGAGCAGGAAAGGTTGCTGGGTGGGGGTGAGTGGGCTGAGCAGAGGAATGGGATTTAGTTTCTTTGGGACTTGGAAGGGTTTAACTCTTGCCATTGGGCCAACTGAATGTTTTATTGCATTTCTATATCTGAACTTGCATAGAGCTTTGCATAGGTGCATACACACATTGAATAAATCTATGTACTGGCACGAATTAATGATTATGGCCTTGACGATGCGGCATGTGACACTCTTTTCCACTCAGCCACGACTGAGTGAATGCAATGCACCGTGCTAATGGCTTTTGGCTGGGACATAAATCTGAGGTCCTGGTCAATTGTCATTAAAGATCTCATCACACTTTTCATGTGTTAATCTCAGGGTCCTGTCCAGTTTCCACCTTGACAGTGGCACTCTGCCTCCCTGAAATGCCTTTTCAATTTCAATTGGATACCAGATTCCTCTTCGTGCAAATTTGTAAAGAAATCTATTATTACAGTATTCTGCTTAACCAGGACACCCTTAATTGAGACAGCCACTTTGTTCCCAGGAAACCAATTTAGCCTACTGATAGCTAACAGTAATGATTGATGCTTAAATGGGACAATGGTAGCATAAATTCTGTCTAATAGAGACTTGTTCGGCCATTGCCAACGTAGTCTGAGAAAGATTTAATCAGATGTGAAATTCTAAGTTCCAGTCTTAATACAGAAAGGTGGTAAATATTAAAATAAAAAAAAATCCACTGAGCATTATTTTTATTCCAATTTCTTTATTCAGTACAATATTTCATTTTAAATGTCTTTAGTCGGTTTCCTTTTTTGTTGGCCTCTTTTTTGGGATGGGAGGCTGCTTATCAGAGTCTTTTCCCAGTTAAAGGGATTCACCATTATTATTATTTATTTTGTCGTGCCTTATTTAAAGCAGTTAGGTAGCATCACTGTCATCTGACAAATGCACACCACCTTCACCCTAAAAGTAGTCACGTGAGTGGTGGATGACTTTTGGCCAGGAGCTCGGGGTTATAGTGTGTACAGTCTTTAATGTTCCTGGTGTTCATTTTAAATCTCTTTTACAACCTCCATGACTCTGGTGATGGGAATGTCCATAAATTTAATATACGTGAATGAGTTTTCAGCCTCCACTTGAGCAGTGTTGAGCCCACCCACGCCCAAATTGGTGCAAGGTGTAAACATTGCTAAAAAACAGCATGCTTGTTCAAGCCCTTTCACTCGTGGTGTTTTCACCTGCAACACCTATTGGTTGGCCTTGGCCAATGGATTTTGTTGGGTATAAACTCTTAACATTTCTTTATGTGCATGTGTTGACCGTTTAAAGGTTACTTGTGAAACTATTCCAAAGAGTTGTCAGAACTTTTAGTGGGTACCAGTGGAGTACATGCACAAATCTGCATGCTCACAAATGGTGTCTAAGTAGAGGCCTGGCTGAAAATATACTCCGGAGTTTGAAGCACTTTGGTAGCCATCTAGCTGAAAGATGCTATAGGAAATCCTATCTACACTGAGGTTTCAGAGAGTGCTGGGGCCCTTCATGTTTAAGTAATTCTTGAAAACTGTGTGTACAGGGGCCTCTAGGTAAGACCGTTACAATTTAACAAGAAGCCTTCAAGTAAGAGCATATTTCTTTCTGTGTGCAGCTTGGAGGAGCTCTTCCTGTGCCTTAACGACTATGAAACAGTGTCTTGTTCTCCAGTTTGCTGTCAGTCTCTCAAATTACTCCACATAACTGACAATAATCTTCAAGACTGGACTGAAATCCGAAAGCTCGGAATTATGTTTCCATCACTGGACACTCTTGTCCTGGCCAACAATCACCTGACAACCATTGAAGAATCAAATGATTCTTTGGCAAGGCTGTTCCCTAACCTGCGATCCATCAGCTTGCACAGATCAGGTGAGGTACTGAAAGCAGCATGTTCTTTATATTCCATGTGTAAATGATAATGCCTGATCTAAACCTTGGCTTTGGCAGAGGGGAGGAGTAATATTCTCATTTTGGTGCAAATTGAAACCTGTGCTTTAACAGGGTGGGGAGAGGTATGTTATTTTGCTAGTGGCATCCTACATCTTTGCTAGAAATGAGCAGTTTGCAATCAGTATTGCTTCCTGCTGGCTACTTGTGTGTGAAGCAGATCAGAGAAGGTGGGGAAAGCACAAGCCTGTACAGTAGAATATCCTTGTTAGACTTCTGGGTAGCATAAACTTATTGGACATACTAGTGCCAGAAACGACAGTCGTTTTTGGTCTTGTCTACCCCAGCTTTTAAACAAAGTCGGAAAGCTCTTCATAAATGCAGCCCAAGCAGGTCTGTAATACAAGCTGTCTGGCTAGTGAGGTAGGTCACTAACTGGGCTAGAGAAAGGTCTAACACAAGTCATACTCCCTCTAACCCCAAACCACACTACATGTGACCCTGATTTAAGGTTTAGGAATAACATTGAAGCTCTATTTCCTAATGGTGCTGATCTGAGAACACACAAACAGATTCCAATCTGATAACTTGAGAAACATGTGAGGAGAAGACGATAAACAAGACATCTGCCGACCCATTTCTGTTTCTTTTGGCTTTTTCTGCCACTTCTGGCGCTTTCTCGCTCTCTAAAGTGTCGACCTGCTGCTGTCATTCACACCCAAGTACACAAGATTCACTACAGTAGTTGAGCTACCATCCTGATGAGGACAAACCACTGATAGCAGCAATGAAAAACACAACTTTGCTATGGATTCCAAAGGTTGGCCGGTATTCTGTGCTCTCCAGCCACCGTGTTTTCAGGAAGAATAAGTCAGAGTAGTTTGGAATGTCAGTGACTGAGGAGCCAGTTTGCATTCTGAGGCTAGGTTACAGTTTAATCAACCTCTAGACCCAGCGTCCACTTACAGGCGCACACATTTTTATGTGCATTACTGGAGCACGCACAGGGAATCAAGTAGAGCAAACCCCATCTCCTGTGTTTAGATGTTAGATTCTTTAGCTGTACGTATGGAAGATGGTGTGCCAGAAGCTTTGGCACAGGCCTCCTTACAAATATGCCCCAGATACTTTTCTCATCCGAAAGCTGAGGCTGGAGAAGCAACTGGCATAGCAGTGAACACACTTTGTACCTTCAAGCCCCAATGATGGGTAGCTATGGGACAGATCACAGGTGCTAAGTGCTGTTTGACTTCCATCTCCCAGATGTGCATGCTTCATTAGCTGAATTTGGAAAACCTTGGAATAAAGTGCTGTGTAAAAAAAAAATCTGTTCAATTGTAGCGGTTTTCCTAGTGTTTGTTTGATCTGCTCATTCTCAAGAACTCTGCCATGAATTTCCTGGTGAGTTTTTGTTCCAGTTTGGCTGCCTGATAATCACCAGCAGTCATGGGCCTTTTTCCTCTCCCTAACTTATTAGAATCAATGCACATGTTAAAGACTCTAGTATAGATTCACTTAATGCATTATTGTAGTTGTTGTTGGTTTATTATAGAGAGCCATGGAGGGACTGAAGCATTAATAAAGCCCCTTTCACAGATATCAGCATGCTATCCAGTATAAGCTTCAGGCAGTATCTAAGGTGCCACAAGTACTCCTCGTTCTTTTTGCTGATACAGACTAACACCGCTACCACGCTGAAACCTGACACCGTTTAGTAAAACTGCAGCTAACTACAGGAAAATAAACCTTTTAAATCAGACTTGAAAAATGCTGAGTCATTGAGAGGAGCATCCTGTGGGAGGCAGTTTTGCTGGGGTGGAACCAGACATTCAGCCCCGTTGGATGCTATGCAGTACATTGATGATCTGAGGAGCCCCCGTTTGAACAGAAAGCCGAATGAGGACATAACTGTGAATTAAATCACACGTGGAGGGGGGAACTTGGGGTATGGAGGGTTCTTGAAAACTGATAATTTAAAATCTTCTCCACAGCAGCTGGAGTTGTCAAAGTAACTATCTAAATAAAGGCATAACATGGAGTGAAAAGGTGTCAAATAGACAAAATGCACCACTGTATTTTGGATAGCTTTGGTAATTCGTTAGTTGAATTGAGACTACTGTTTGAAAGAATGTCGCCATGGTTCACTGGTGAAATAACAGTTATGGCCACTGCTGCAAGATCCCATGTCTTTCAATTTTCTGGAGGATGAATAGTTGATAGTGATGTGGTCTTATTCACACCCTAATGTAAGTGAATTAAAGCATTAGACCATACACTTCTGGGTTTATTACTCATTCCTCTGCCTACTTTAAATCATTTTTTTTTAAGCCTTGTTTCTGCCTGTCCCAGTCTAATACTGCTGTTCCTGCCCCTGCAACAGCTATTACCAATTGATATTACTGAGGCTTTTGCATATTAAATATTGATGAACTTGGTCCTGCTTAAACCTGCTTCTTGTCTTGCTGGCTGCTGTGGTTTAACAGAGATCTCCAGTGATTTGAAGGTGATTGGTTTTCACAGGAGTTGTGATGGAACATCTCAGTGTGGGATGATGGGAGTTCAAGCAGATTTTCTTCAGAGTGGACACCTCCAGCAGTATAAATAAGCTGTTTCCTTTTCAAATGCAATTGCCTCTAACTGTTCGCTTTCTCCCAGGCACAGTAGCATTCTGACCTGCAAAGGCCAGGTTCTTGGCAATAGTTGAATTAGAAGATGAATATGACCCAGTTACCTGTCAATCATTTTCTGCTATCACCACCAGCTGAGTGGTCCACAGGTAGAAGCGGGAAGGGTTTTGAGCCAGTATCACAAGCTGTTACTTCTATCCCTGTGCGTGTGGTATGCACTCATGGCTGACTTCATTACCCAGGGAATGTATTTTAATAGCAAGTTGACTTGACAAGGATATTACACTTGACATGGAAGAAGGGGACAAATATCTCTCTTCAGTATGCCCCGCTACACAAAGAAATTGCAATTCTGGTCTGAATGATCACTTACCTTCTGAGACCACTGCAGTCCCTGGAACAACAGAAGTGTCTGACCTTTACTTAATTACCTGACTTGGGTTTGCTTTAATTTTTTAGAGATGCTGATTTCCTTTTATCTATTATAGTGGTGAAAATGTCCCACCAATTTCTAATAGAAGCGTGTAATACTTGGTATGTTAGACTTAGTAGCTAGACCGTGCATGTAAGAAGCATCTGTCTTCTGCCACAGCAAAAGGAAGCAAAGATAAGCATCAGAGTTAATCTTGAACACACAAGCAAATAGATTGTCACCTGATCCCCAGCTTTCCTCACAACTTTGCTTCAATTCTCAGAACCCAGCACAGATTTGCAGAAAGCTCATGGGAATAGGATACCTGCAGGTCACAAGTTCAAATCCAGACCTAGCTTGGTGTAGACCCTAAAATTTACCATTTGATGGCTGCTTGGTGGTCCCTGAAGTGACACAAGTCTGGCTTCAGCGGTATTAACCAGAGTCCTTTTTATCGAAATAGCCATAATAAGTAATGCTAATTGTCATTCAGCCAAGATGCCAGGGACTGAATAGGCCATGGAGATTGAACTTCCCCCTCAGAGATTGTCCCTCCAGACTGGTAGGTCAGCATGGGTGAGCTAATGCTGCTCCTTCATGTCCATGAATAAAGGAATTCAGTCTCTAGCATTTCACCGGCAATGCACTGACTTGTCAAATAAACGTAGATTGTCATTCTCCTGTTGAGATCCATGAAATAGTGTTAGGGTCAACTCGTATGCTGAATAACACACTGATAAATGGATGATAAAATGAACAAATTGGCTACAACTGACCTTTAATATATTGTATATGCTCTATGTGTATGTGTCTTTAAACAGCTCATTTCTTAAAGCAGGTCTGCATTGCTGGGAAGACATTGACAAACTAAACTCTTTCCCCAAGCTTGAGGAAGTGAGATTGCTTGGAATCCCTCTTCTGCAGTCCTACACCACCGAAGAGCGCAGAAAGCTGTTAATAGCCAGGTCTGGTGTTTCAGTTTGCTCTGCTCAGTAAAACATACTGCACAATTTTGGGTGGGAAATGAGGTGAAGTGTTTGTTAGGGGCACTGCTGATTCATGTGGTACGGATGCACTTGATGATTACCTATTCTACTCATTTCCTCTGGGGCACCTGGCATTGGCTACTGTCGGAAGACAGGATACTGGGCTAGATGGACCTTTGCTCTGACCCAGTATGGCCATTCTTATGTAATGTTAGCTGCGAAAGGACGTGGAACTTCTGCAGAATGAGAAGGGGACATGGAAGTGGAAATAATCTAAATAGAAGGCTCCCATCATAGACGTTAGTCTGTCAGGAACAATGGGTACTAGTCCAAAGACTATTGACTTTAAAATGGGTCTTGAAGCAGGCCCTCAAAACAATTAGGTTATTTAGGATTATCTCAAATCTCTGAATAATACAGCCTTATTTGTCCATTACAAATTCTAAATACTTGTTTCAACAGATACAGAATCCGCATCACTGGATATTTCCAAGTTAGACTCTCTATTGGGGAAACGTTTGTTGTACTGCTTTTCTATTTGTACAGTAAATATTGCTTTGAGAATGTTTCCACATTTCCAATCTCTCGTGTTTTAAATAGAACATTTAGTATGTGATAAAAGGGTAGCATCAAGGTCATGAAAACTGGGATTACGCCTCCTGGGGTCCCTCATTTCCAGTGAGTGGGATACCTGGCTGTTCAGGAAGGTGGGTAAGATTCTTGGTTGGGTGTGCCCAAAGGGTTAAAATGTGTAGCAACCCCTTTTGGTGTGAGTGAACTAAGTGCAATTATATATGCTATACTATATTACTATAAACCAATAATATACTGCAGAATAGCGCATATTACTGTGTACCTGTTACAGCTGGTAGAAAAACGCTGTGTAAATATCCATGGAATATTTTGGATGAAACAAAGTTTTCAATTTGTTTGATGAAAAACAAAAAATTCCAAAAACTGAAAATCAATCACCCCCTCATCTGAAAAGGTGGGAGAGGGAAATAGAAAATTGTAATTTTTTTTTTATTTCCAATAACTGATTTTTTTTTAATTGTATGGGACATTTTTGAGCAAAATGAAAAAAAAATTCAAAAATTGTCCAAAAAAACCAAGAAAAGTTTCCAGGAAAGTGTTGATCAGCTCTAATTAATACCTGCAATACACTGACCCATATTAACATACTGTACTATTTTATTAAAAGGAAATTTATATCCTGATTAGACCACAAACTGAACCTTAATTGAAGGAACGTGAATCTCATGCAGTTTCTCCACTGGATGTGGGAGTCAGTGGCTTAAATTTTGAGAAGTAACTAATGCTTCTGGGGGACCAATTTGAGATACCTTAAAGGGGCCCTATTTTCAAAGGGTGGGTGGTAGGCTGCTTTCATGTGTCTCAAGTGAGGCACCCAAAAATCATTAGTCACTTTTGAAAATTTAGGCTGGTGACTCTAATGCTTAATCCTGGGGGTCAGGACTCCTGGATTGCATTCCTGGCTCTGCCACTGAGTCATGGTGCTTGGGTAAGCTACTTAAGTTCTCCATGCCTCAGTTTCACCATCAGTACAATGGGTATAGTAAGAATGTACTTTCAGGTAAGTAACAGATGTTTGAAAAATGATTTGAAATCCTCTGATGGGTAGGCACTAGAGAAGTGCTAACTATTTATTATGTATGCACAGAAATAAAAATGTAGTCAAATGATGCATAATTCTAATTATTGTCCAAGACACTGCATAGTACTTTGAGAGCAAGGTTTTGAGATTGAAGCTATGCGGCCCTGAGGATAAAATCACATGCTGCTGTTGGCTCTAGAGTCTTGCTAATCATCGTGGCTAGATTTTCGTACCCTCATTAACAGTGTTCCTCGGTGTATTCATGCAGATTGCCATCTATCATCAAGCTTAATGGGAGTGTCATTACTGATGGGGAGCGAGAGGACTCTGAGCGATTCTTCATTCGGTATTACCTGGACTTCCCGCCAGAAGAAGTCCCATTCAGGTACGAACTTCAGAGCTGGAATTCAGAGAAAGCGCAGTGCACAGGAAAGGAGAATGATGTTCACTAGACAGTTCGAAAGTGTGCAGCTGAAAGTGTCTTACAGCTGAGAAATGACACTGGAAATCAGGTCTGGGCCTTGTAACACCAAAAAATTCCTTACCCTCCTATCATCCTTTCCTCCCTCAGTCCATATTAATTGATCTTCTCACCACACTCCTCCGTGGAGTGTGTCTGATATCTTACTGATTCACTACTGTGTCAGATCCAGCCTTAAACTGTCCCTTCCAAGGGCTGTTCGACTGTTCTGTCTGTCATCCTCATTGCCTCTTCTAGGCAACCCCCACTGCCATCTCACTAATTCCCCTGCATCCTGGAGTCTCTTGAAGCCCGTATTAATACTTCTCTCTGGTACCAAAACAAAATGGCTAATCCTCGTGCCCTCTGTTGGGTAGAATGTACATAGGGATAAAAGCTTTCCCTCTTCTAAAAACTCAGAACACAAGTTTGTGTGGGTTTTTTGCCAAAAACAATATGCTCCATTATCTGATATCAATAAACAAATGAACTTTGATAGCACCTGTGTGGTCAGTAGCCTTTGATACCTATATGTGTTTACTGCTTCTTAATGGAATGAGGAAGGTTTGATCAAGCATCAAGTCATTGCTCCTAGTACTTTGCATTGTATCCAGAGACCTAGTGCATTTTATAGACTATGAAGCCTCACAAATCCCTTCTCTGAGATAAGGAAGTAGATGAGTAAACTGAGGTACAGAGAACTCAGGTGACACAATGGGTCACACAGGGAGTTGGTTGCAGAGCTGAGAACAGAATCCAGGCATCCGGACGGTCGATCCCATACTTAACTACTAGGCAAAACTGCCTTAAAACAGTTCTGCAGTCTTAACCTGCCTATGCAATCACTACATCAGAAGGGTCGATTCACAAATGACCCTGAGGGTGTTTTGGGAGGGGCAGGAGATGGTACTAAAAGAACTGAACAGTTTCTTGCATGCAGCCTCTGAATGACTTCAGGGAAAGGGATCCCTGTTTAAATACTACAGTGATGGGTGCCTTATGTGTAATTAAATGATAAATTAATGAGAGAAGGAGAAATGGGTTTAGACTCAAGTATACATCAAAGATTGTAAGCTTTGTGGTAGGGACTGTGTTCTCCTATGTGTTCCTGCGCACCTAGCACAGTGAAACTGATTCTAGTTGGGTCCTCTGGATGCTGTCACAGTCTGAAATAGGAATAATCTAACTCCTGGAGAGAGGATTTAGATTTAGGGTGGAAGCTTTACTGAGCAACTTGCTATCTCTCTACACTATCTGTGTAAGACTTAACGTGAAGATGAAAGGAATGTGTGTCCCCTCCAGTTCCTGGCCTTTAAAGACCATTGCATCCATCTTCCTGATCAATGAGCTCTTTGTCTGAATGCCTTCATCCCTACAGCTTCTCTGAGAGACTTGTGCAGCTTTAAAGGCTGTTTTTCCACTCCAGAGAGCTTGTGTGCCTTTTCAGACCATGCTACAGATGGCTGAGGTGTCTCCAATGCTGAGTTCAGGTTTCACTTCCAGGACCATTGTACCCCCTATCCCTTCCCCCGACACATACCTGGTGTCCCTTGTTTCTGAAGTGAATTTTCTTACCTCTCTCCCCTCCCGCCCCCAAGTCTGGCATCTGCTCTCAAACCTGTCTTTAAAGTCTGTTCCTAGTTAGATCAAGAGCAGCTGTAGCTGATTAATTGGCAGGGATGCAGTCTGCATTGCTCATACAGGGATCCTGGAAATTCTGCCAAAAACAGCTGAGCTGGACATGTCTGTACATGAAAAGCTTGCAAACAGAAATGTCTCTCTTGGCTAGATAACAGGATACACCTCTCTGTAAAGAAAATAGTATTCTGTCTCTTTAAATCAGCCCAGTTGCATTGAAAGTATTCACAGCCTACATGCTGCATGAATTGGAAAAGTAGTGAAATGTATAGTAGAACTTGCAATCCTTCAGTGGCTTGTGTTAAAACTAAGGCCTGCTTCTTGAGTGACACCTCTGATCGGTGGATTTCTAATGAGTTACGTGCTTGTCTGGGCCACTGTTCATACATAAAAAGAGAAGGAGTACTTGCTCGGCACCTTAAAGACTAACAAATTTATTTGAGCCTAAGCTTTCGTGAGCTACAGCATCCAATGAAGTGAGCTGTAGCTCACGAAAGCTCATGCTCAAATAAATTTGTTAGTCTCTAAGGTGCCACAAGTACTCCTTTTCTTTTTGCGAATAGAGACTAACACGGCTGCTACTCTGAAACCTGTTCATACATAGAACATCAAACTGTTTTAGCCAGGTTCACTTCTTCAGGATTGTCTTCTCTGGCAGTCAGTGTCTGTCAGGCTGTGGAAGGTGATTATGTAAGTCTCAGAGGTGCCTATTACCTTGGTATCGAAGTACCAAACGAGTACTATGTGTTAGTCTTTATGGACTTGGGGGAATACAGTTGTTTTACTGCAGAATCTGATTATGGTACAAGAAACAGGCTGTGAGATTTCTCTGCCTTTTCCCCAGGAGGGGAAATGGGCTAATGTTTCGTAATACACAGCAAGTTCACAGTGTGTGTTTTCACTTCCCCTCATTCTCCTCCTCCACTGTACTGGTCCCCCTATTCATCCACACTTTTCACCTGCAGCCCTCTTGCAGCAGGAGCTCGGTGCATCTCAGGTACACACAGACCTTCTGAGTCTGCCACGCTCTCTGCATAATCAACTCTTTACTTTTCTGCAAATATTAAGGTTGCCAACCCTCCAGGATTGTGCTGGAGTCTCCATGAATTAAAGATTTAATTTTAAAGATTACATCATGGGACGAAACCGCTAGGAATACGTCCAACCAAAACTGGCGACCCTAAATAGCAAGAGATGCCCTGCAGAGAGAGCAGGTTCCTGCAGAAGCACATTCTCTCTCTCACTCTGTCTCCTGCCGGAGGCATGAGGAAATGTACTGGGGAAATCCTCATTCCTGGTGTCAAGGTGATTAATGCTTATTTAATTATTTGTTTGTAAAATATGAGGAATATGTTTCCTCCTCTCAGAACTAATGGTTTTCTAAATAGGCCTGATTGTATCTCCCTGTTTATTGTGAGAACAGGACAGTGGCCTGTATTTGGGCACTCCTCCCTACTGAAGGCTTGTTTCGCCTGAGATGATAGGGAAATCCTAGCGCGCTGTGGCCATTACCTCACGCTCTGTGCAGACAGAGGGCCTGCTGTTGTGAAGGAACATTCCTACCTTTAACATGAGTCCCTGGGGGCTCCCATATTGCCAGGCTCCATCATCCCCTGAGTGGGGCAGTGACACAGCACTGATTACATTAAGCCCTGAGTCAGATGGGAAACAAAAAGAGCTTTCTGTGCAGCCCACTGTGGAGAGGCTCTGAAATGTTACCTCCTGTCTGCAGCTCTCTAGCTTTGTCATTTCAATTACCTTGTACTTTGTGTTGACTTTTTGCCACTTTCCCAGCCCGTCAGTAGAAGTGCTACCTTTCTTTCCTGATGGAAGAGATACCAGCTGCGGCGGGCAGTAGAGGAGAGACTTGCCTCTTCCAGGGAACATCTCTCTGTGCCTGGACCTTTTCAAGACAATTCTTAAAGCTCATTTACACGGGGAAATTGGCCGGCAGAACTGTAGCAGTATAATTCTTGGTGGATGTAATCCTGAAATAAAAGCTACCTTATTCTGGTATAATTATTCACTTTTATTCTGGAATAGAGTGTCTCCCTGGGGAATTATCCCAGCATAGCAACAGGGGTATAATTAGATTGTTGTAGTTCTACTGGTCAGTTTCCTCATGCGGATAAGCCTTTCATTGTTTTCACAACTCCATCAAACCCACATGGCCACCAAGCCAGTACTTCTCTCCGCACCCTCCTCCAGCCAGGGAAAGTTCAGTGATCCATGCTGCAGCTTGCTGGATTCAGAGAAAGTCTAATGTCGTATCAGATCAAAGTGGCCTTCTGATGGGTGTGCAGCGCTTCCTGAAAATCAGGTTCCTTTAAAGTGTCTGAAGTACCTTAAAATTGAGGCACCCAAACTCACTCGTTTTTGAAAATTTTGACCAAAATGCTTTGTACTATTATTATTTAGTATTATTTAGTTCTGATACTTTTTTTGTTACATATTTGGGCAAGAGATGTAAGCTATGGTTAGAACAATATTCTCCCAAAGTCAAGATAGGTGGTTTGAATTTCCAGTTATTGAATAACTTTTCTCAGTTTCCTTAACTGATTAAATGAGTATTTTCAGAGCAGTACACAGGTGTTCCATACACATCTTGAGTTGCTGATAATGCCTTCTTCTAAAACACTATATTCTGCCTTCCATTCAGTCTGATGTCTTTGCTCCTTTGCAGCTTTGGCTATAGTCTGAGACAAGGTTACTATAGTAGATGGCTCTTCTGCTTTTGTTCCTAGTATGGCAATTCGTATCAAAACGTGTACTTCTTCCCAAGCATTGTATGGAAAATGATAGAGTACAAACATCACGGTCTAGATTCATCCTTTGTGGAAGGCCATTTAATTTTCATCTGGAATGAATATTGCCCCATGTAGTTAGTGAGTTATAATGAGCACCTCCCTTAAATCTCCAAGATTTAGTGGCAAATGTGAAACCAGATATTTGGTGCATTTTTTGCTGTTCCTGCACAGTGTCAGAGTATGAGGAGGGCTCTGTATTACTCCTGAATTATTACAGTCTTAAACAGTGTTCTTCACGCAACAGGGGTTGGTCTTCATTAGAGATTTCACCTCAAGTTAATTGATTGGCTCTTAACTTGATTGCAGATTGACTGGTGAATGCCATGTGGTCTAGTTCTTAAAAAGAGGGGCAGGGTGACTTGTTGTTAGGATGCCTGGGTTTTGTTTTTGGCTTTTGCTGAATCACTCTGTGTCTTGGACAAATCCTTCAACCCCTCTGAGCCTCAGTTTACCAATCTCTTAAATGGTTACAATGCTTAA